TTAGTAACACTCTCAGCACAATAATGATGATAGGATTCAGTATCCAGCATGATACTCACCCTAAATAAATCTAGCAGAGTAGTAGAATATAACTCAAAATAAGGTTGTCCAGGCAGTTTCCTCCCATTGAAATCAGTGGGGCAAGTTAGCTATATCAAGTCCAATTGATTTTGGTGGGAGCTAAGTGCAAGTAACTTAAGTCTTGATCCAAGCCAGTAAGCAGGGAAAAAATCCAGTTTCTTATGAAGGTTTGATTAACAATGCAATGATAAACATGCTTATTCAGAACTTAATCCCATGGAGCTCAGTGGGGCTTACATTCGGGTAAGTGGGTTGGGGAGTGCATCCCAAGCTGGGAATGCCATGCAGATATTACATTCCAGTGCTCTAGCTTTACTCCAAGAAAGTTAATAAAGTGATTTTTTAAAAAGAGCAAAAGCAAGAGCCAGCAACAAGGTTAAGCTAGCAGGTTGCTTTATATGAGTCAGACAATTGGTCCATCCAGCTGACCAGTTCTGAGAAGACTGACTGGAAGCAGCTCTCCCAGATTTGGACAGGTGGCTTCCCCACCCTACCTGGAGATGATGGGGATTTAACTTGGGACTTCCTGCTTACAAAGCAAGTCCATGTGCACATTCCCAAGATGAATAAAGGGACAAGAGAAGCCTGAGAGAAGCTTAGGAGAAATAGAGCCATCCTAGAAGTGAGGAAAGAAATCAACCATACATGATGGTGAATGGTACAAAGGCTAGGTGATTATTTATTTGGGTGGATATCAGAACACTGAATATCCTTTTTTAAAATCATGACAACTCTACTTGCTTTGTATTATATTTAAGGTAAGAAAAGGGAATGAATGATGGATGGCTGCATCCCCAGGTTTGATGGTTTATTAAAAGTCTGGGGAAGCTCCAAGTGGCACAGTAAAGGGATGACTTAGGATACTACGCCTTTGAATCTAGGTTACTAAAAGACTAGTTCCATGTCATTTGGAAAACATTATAACATGGTAAGCAGCTTTTTTCCTAGCTCAATTTCCAAATGAGCAATGCAACACGTTTGACCAAAAGTCAAAGCACTTTTAACCAGTTCCTGTAGTCAGCTAGATGGATGTGGGAAATATTTTTGCTGCAGATCACACACGGACTTTGGAGTTCTTCTGATGGTCAAGCAGTGGTAGATCTGGAATTGCCATGTTCAGAGGGTACCTGAGCCTCAAAGTGATGATGTGCAGGTGTCATGATCAAAATGTAAAGATCATAGAGACTGCCTGATTGGTGAATGTAATAAGGGCACTGGCTGAGGAGGACTGAAGTCATAAATCCTAGTTGTGGGGGAACCTCTATATTGTGCCTTGGGTTGCTGAGCCACCCTATGGGGATGAGTAGCTACCAGCCTGGTTCTTTCTCGACGCCATCTTTAAGGACAGGAAGTTGGGCCTCACAAGTGAGTTTGTGTTGTATTCACCTTGAGGTCAGAGCAAAGGGATTTGGCTTATAGAAATGCAGATGCAAATTCTGTGATGAAAGTAAGTTGTGAGGATATTCCCAAGAGAATAGCAAATTGTGAGGGGATGAGATTGAAGGCTGCGTGAGTGGAATCCCACAGGAAACATGGATTGCAGTGGCCTCATGGTGGCAGTGTTCTTGTGCTTGGACATTTTGAAAGTGGGGGTGGGGAATATATTTGGAATTTTTCAAAACGGTGTGTGTGGAATGGGCTTGATCTGTCTTGCACACTTCAAGAACAGATGTACAGGTGCAAGCATGCTGGAAGCTGCAAATTATGAAAGACATGCTGCTAAAGCATGGTTAGCACAACACGGAAATGTCAGTCATGCAACTTTCCTGGGCATGTGCGTTTTGTCTGTTTCATCATAATCTTTCAGCCTCTTTGTCGATTGCTCAGTCTCTAGGTTTCCTTCAAGGATGGTCATGGTGGTGGCACACGAGGAATTGTTAGATTTGGGGAGTTAGGATCCAGCAGCCAGCCAGATCCCTTTATTGGTACATCTTGATAAACTGAATAGATGAGCAATACTCAGGCAAACTGGGTAAACTAAACTGGGTGGCCTGCAAGTAAAGCTATTTCACTATGATTCAGAGAGGAGCTGCCAGGTTCAGTCCCGTGATTCCAGATAATCCATCTTGATTCTTAGCCTTGCCTCATCAAAATGTTCATTTTTACTTCAAAACACTTGGCATGAGCAGAGAAAAACCAACCTCCTTCAGCCTCCTTCTGCACATTCCTTCCTTTTCTTATATCAGCACCGTAAAGGTGCTTCGCATCAGGTAGATGCATAGGATGACTGGGTGACATGCAGGCTGACTGTCCTCCGGTGTGGTTTTTGTTGAACTGTGCATTATTTGGCAGAAGCAACCCCCCCGCTTCACTTTCCACGTGTGCCCAAGCTAGTTTGCAGCTAAAACCGGGTAGGAAGCTGCCATTCTTTTCTTCCAGAGGGCAGGTTCCTAGAGCAAAGAACAAAGCTCCCAAACGTTGCAACCCCGGCATAAGAACAACACAGCTGCCACGTTCCTAAGTGATTGTCACCACTGTTAGGAATGCCACGCACTTTGCATGCCCTCATACCTACACTACTTCAGAGCAGAGCTGAACGTTTCTTAGATATTTCAAATTAGAACCAACATTTCCTAGAATCTGGAGATAGTTTTTGCTGTTTGCAGGATTACAATAGGAGAGAAATAAATCTCACACTGGTGCTTAATCAAAAAAGATATATTCTGGAATATGTTCAAGACTGCCGGTTAATGTTCAGGGAGCAAGTCACCTTGGGTTAGTTATTCCACTCTCCAGAGATCATTCTTGAATAAATTTCATCCTTGTCCCTCTTCTTTTGGATTCTTTCTAGCACTTCAGCCACGTCCACTAAGCTTGTGTGAATGGCCATCTTTCTACTTGTGATAATCAATCCAGTCTACTTAGGAAAATGAAGTTTTAGAAGAGATGTGGCTTAGTACTGTATATGGAAAAATGAGCCATTCAGTGGAATCGCGACCTAAGACTATGAACTCTATTTTCTGGCTGCAGTTGCATGTTGCATGTCACATTCCGTAACCTTTGCAATGCAGAGAATACAGAGCAGCCTCTCCAACTTGGTGCTCTCCAGACTACAACTTTCTGCATCCCACAGCCAGCTGACTACAACTGCCAGCATCAGGGATACGGGAGTTGCAGTCCCCCACATCTGGAGGGCCTCGGGTTGAGGAAGGCTGATACAAAAAGCCCGAGAGCAGTGGATTCCTCTGTTACCAGAGAAGTTCCTTTTAAAGTTCCCCTACACCAGCTGCCTCTTCTCCCCAGGATGCGTCACCTGGGAATAAGCCCCTGTGAAAACCCCCTCTGTGTGAGAGTGAGGGTCAGCCCCTTACCGCTTGCCTCGCACTGGGCAGCCCCCACCCACCCTGCCCTCCCTGGCAGTGCTGTTGCTATAAATATTCATTCCAGGATTAGCTTGGCAGCTGATCTCGGCACTCAGGAGCGTGGAAAGGTGCCAGATGGAGAGGCAGAGGGATACATTCGCCCAGTGTTTGCCATGCCTCAGGCTCAGTTGGTGGTCTGGCATCCTGCAGTGGTGGGCGCAGTCCCCTGGCAGGGCCGGCTGGTGCACACGCAGGCTGCTGAGCTCCTCAAAAGTGACACACGGGTGCACTTTCTATAGTCACAGCATTTCTGCAAGCGGTAGGGGCAGGCAAATGAGAAGAGCTGGGGAGGAGAGAGAATGTACAGTGCAGCCAACAGGGTGCATTTCTCAGTGAAATGCCTCATAATTGGTTCATGTAACAGGGTGGTCAGCAGCCCCTTTCCGAACACAAACTGTTTGGAAGAATTAAGTCTATAGACCACTCAGTGTCTCTCGGCCTGTGAGGTTCCATGCATACCTCAGGAGCAGTATTTGCATTAAGTGCTGTTCCAAGCCACAGTCTTGCCACTCACTTGACATTACCCACAAGGCTTAAGGTGTCTTGAGATGCGCTCACAAAATTCAGTGCCGTGATGACAGCAGTGCATGTGTGAGAAAGAGCCTGGTCGTCATGGGATGCCTACAGAATGGGTCTTTTATTTGAGGAGGGTTGCCTGCTATCAAGGCCAGCCATGAGGCAAGTGCCTCCAGCAACTTATTTTGGGGGTGTCATGAAAAGGCAGCAAATTGATAGTTATTCAGGGTGCCACCCTATGCATGTTTCGACAGAAAGTGCTACAAGTTTCAGCCAGACTTTTTCTATTCAAACGTGCATAGAATTGTGCCTGTAATGTATTTTTACTGCATTTTTGGTACCATCACTTTTGCGATTTTCAGCCTTGGGTTCCAATATAACTTAGGCAGCAGTAGGTGCTACACACCTTTACCTGGGGCTATCCCCTGTGTCTCCACCTCAGGCAGGAATTACCTTGGGCTGGTTTTGCCCACCATCCAACACCATCATGTAATAGAGGAGTTGTCCAGTCCCTGTTTGAAGTTCTGCATGGTTGGAAAGATACTAAGAACAAAGGCTAGAGCTGAGGAGATCAGTATGGCCAGAATCCAGGATTGTCAGTCCAGTGCTAATTGGACATCATGTTTCCTACAGTGCAGCCTGGAATGTTTAAAACTGCATGTTGGATTCTGCAAGTTAATGGCTTATTCTGCCGTTACCGGAGAGAAAGTAGCAATGGGCTGGATGGGAATACTATTGGACTAGATGAGCTGAAAAGCTACTCCATTTTTTTTTAAAGTATGTTGTGGAGGAAGACGATTCCTGCAGGCTTTCTGAAATGAAATGAGTATTCAAGGTAAGGTGGGTAGAACTTGTAAAATTTGGAACGAAATTGAGTTCATCCTACCAAAGAAAGAATCATTGCAAGGATGGGGTCCAACAATACATGGCTTGGCTTGGACCTGCCTGTAGAAGAAGGGGTGTTTGCGGTCTCAGAGGGATGAGCTGAAAGTGGGACTGCTGTGAGGAAGAGTGACCAAAGATCTTGGAAGGACTGAGGATTCAATGGGGATCTGTCCCATAGAAAAATGGGTAATGCATGGAACAGGGGTAGGAGAACATGAATTTAACAGCAAATTTCATCTCCTTGTTTTTCTTCTCCCAGCGATAAATGGCCAAGACCAACAGCCGCCCACCCACCTTGCGGCCCATCACCAGAAAGCTGCCACTGAGGTCGTCCAGCTGGGGACAAGGGCAGGTACCTGCATTCTTCATGTGCAGTACCAGCTTCTTGGTGTCCTTACGTTTCAGTGGTCCCACTTTAAGCAATTTCTTCTTCTTCTGGGCAGCCACCAGTCGCCTTTCCCCATTCTCCTTCTTGATCTCTTTGATGCGCATCTTCACCACTGTTGGGAAGCAAATGGGTAACAGATGACATCAGAAGCATGGGGGCTAGAGCAGTCGTGGGCAACTTGAAGCCCTCTTCGCATTTTGGCCTACAGCTCATATCAGCTCTAGCCAGCACAGGCAATAGTGAGGGCTGATGGGAATTGTAGTGCAACAGTTGTTGCTGGTCTAAAAGTTGCCCACCCCAGACTAGAAGGTGAAACCAAAGGGAAAGAAGAACAAGACAGGGATATGGGTTCAAAAGGATGAGGACTGTGAGGTTAATGGGGTTGGTTTATCTGATTTTGACAGTTTCAGAGCTGGCCATTTAAAAAGATGGAAGGAAAGGGGAACAGTAATGGAGTTTTCCCAGACACATAGTCAGGATCCAGTCTGCCTTCTTATGACTGAATGAAAGGTGACGTAATTAATTTCCTCCTGCAACTTTCTATTAATTTATGTTCCGGACATGATGGACTTTTGTCTGTCACAAACCCAAACCATCATTTAGACAACTTTGGCTTCATGGGTTGCCTATAAAGTCCATCACAATTTCAGCAGGAAAAGTGGCCACAACAGGGAAAGCTCACCCAGGATTGTCTCTTGCCCCCACTCCTCTGCCCAAGTAATGGACAAGAAGAAAACGTGGCCATGGACACTCGCAGCTCCATGGGGCTCACATGAAGGAATGTGAACTGGGGCGGTACCAGGTTAGCTGCAGGCGGAGCTGAGCCTTCTTGGCCACAGCTCCAGCTCATGCAGCTGCTGTTGCAGAACGTGCCGCAGTCGCGTCCCGACTCTTCCGTGCCACAGTATTCTACAGATGGGTTGGGCAGATGCTGTAAAACGCCGTTCCCTAACTGATGTCTTCCAGGTGTGCTGAACGGCAACTTCCATCAGTCTCACCAAGCAGGGCCATGATGGAATTGTAGTCTAACACATCTAGAAAGCACCACTGTCTGTTCAGTCTGCTGTCCGGTTGATAACTATAGCTGGGCAACAAGTATGGTTCATTATCTTGAAATTAAAGTGGGCCAGGACAGCCCTTCAGTTATGCACAGTTGCTTGTCAAAGAGGACACCTGGCCATCCTAGGTTAGGTAAGAGGTCTGACATCCTCTCAAACCCCTGGGTTATATCTGATGTCAGACCTGCACAGAGTAGGACCATTCATATGAATGGGACACACATTGGATTCGGCTCATTGTCTCCCGTTTTCACTGTCAGCTTCTGCCTGGGATGATCATCCTTTCTAGGACTGTACATGCAGGAACTGCATCATGATTCTTTTACTATGATCCTGACTTTCCGATATAAATCATCTGCAAGGCTGCAAATACATTCTTCGTCGTCTTAAGTGGAGCGTCACAACCCTTGTTAAACAAAAACTAACACAAAATATGATTTTAAAGTATGGATTAAACAGCAGCAGAAATGCTAATAAAATAGTTACAAGTACATAGGATTAAAATCTCAGGTAAACTAGATGAAGTTGGGCAGTATGTTTGCATTTTAACCCTCCAGGATCTCATGCCCCCCATTTTGTCCTTTCCAGAACCCTGTGAAATAGTCTGCTGAGAGACAGCAACTAGTTTAGCCACTGAGCTCTGTAGTCATCCAAGGCCATTTGAGCCACATGCCTGGGGACTGAATCTGGGTTATTTCTTGCAACGCATGGGCACTTCCCTTTAGCTATAGGTGTGGATTTAAGGCTGCATACATCAAAGCCGACACTTTCTTTCTGTGTTCAAATCAAGCTGGAAGCCATTTAATTTCTGAGGGAAATGGATGGGGTTCATGGAACAAGGGAATAGAGATAACAAATATGGAGCTTCTTTTGCATTCCTGCTGTGCCAGGGGTGACATCTTGGGACACCCCTCCCACAATGCCTGGTTCTGAGGGAGGCCCCCCTGAGTGGCAAGCATTTGGGCTTTGCCAGCTCTCTGAAGAACGGTGCCAGCTGCTTCTTCCAGCCAAAGCAGCTCTTTAGAGAACCCACCCTCTGTGTGGCTCGCACTGAGATGATTCTCAGCAGCTGTCAGAAGGTGGATAGCCAGAACCTGTCCTGTTCTGCTCTGAGGATCTGGAAGAGGGGGTGCCTGATTGACCTGGGGAGCACAGCTTTCTCTTGGGGTCCTCGGGGCAAATCAGAGGCAGGCACTGGTTGCAGAGAGCCCTGCTAGGTGTGCTGCGGTAGCAGCATTGATCACAGCAGCAAAATGGGCTTCTGAGGCTTTCCAGAGCATCTGCTTTTGCACTGCTGGCGGGAGGCTGCTCCAGAGAGCCCTGGCTGGAGAGCAGCTGGCAGGGCTTCTTGGAGCACCCGCTGGAGGTGGAATCAGGTTTTCTGCATGTGTTTGGGAAGAAGTGCAGAATTCACTGCACTTAGACTGATACGAGTTAAAGTTCAAAACATCTGGGTGGCACCTGGTTGGAAAGGGGGGATGTTAAACTCCCCTCTACCCTTTGTTTTCTGAAATACTCCTCCCCTGTAGGATCGAAGTAAATAAAAAAGACTACACTGGTGCAAGTTGAGACTTTGTCTTCTGAGCTGCTATGAATTGTGATGGTCAGGTGCATGCGGCAGATTTAATGTTGAGTGTAGATTGAACTGTAGACAACCCAGATGGAGACCTCCAGATCCCTGTGCTTTTGGATGAATGGCTTACCAAAGTCACTGGAACACATCTGCTCCATTATGCCATCAGCTTTGTGCTCTATCTCACACTGGGTGCAGATCTTTGATACTGTAAGATGCAAGAAAGGTAAGTATGAGCCAGGGCCAAATATTGACATGCAGGCACTCATCATGATCATCTGCAGAGCCGTGTTCCCATGGAGCATCCCAAAATGCAGCCGCTATCTTGGCTCATACCAAGACACCAGTTCCAGCCACGTTTATCTCCACCAGGAGTAGGTTTTTTTGTAAACCAGAGAGGTCTTAACTGGTCCTTCAAGACCAAGCTACCCAACAATATTTCATATTACAACTGGAGCAACTTATTGTTACTGGGGAAATTAATCTCACAGCAATCTTGGGAATTGCAGCTGATGTCACAGGGACCAGGGAGGCTTGAGGAGGGCAACAGAAGACAACAGCATCCTTGGGAATAAAAGGGCCAGCCCTGCATCCCTGCCAGCCCTGACTCCACTCTTCCGCTGGTCAGAACCCAGCCAATGGATCAGGGTATCTTTCTCAACCCTGCCTCTTCAGCTTTCTGGCCACAGTCTCATGGGCAAACTACTTGTAGGGATGATGGCTATTCCCAAGCCCAGCCTGTCTGCCTCAGAATGAACTTCCTTTGACTTGCCATGAAATGACTCCAACTAACAGAAGGTTTGGGAGTTTGGCTCATCCAAACAGGAAGCCCCTAATCCTTATTGGAAAGGGTTCTGAACAGCTGCACGAGACAGTATTTTGAGCAAAATACTTGTTTCTCATGTAACTGATCCTTTTCCACTCCCCAAATTCCCTCTCTCATGCAGACCTCTGTCCTTGTCCCGGTAAAGCATTTACTGCCTCCTGGGTCAAAAGTGGTGTACATTAAGGTGGGATGGGTGCTGGAGGGGCTCAGGGAAATCAAGGTGTTTGTGTAGCGCAATGCAAGCCTGTGTGTGAAGGTCCTCGGCAGGAAGCACACGGGCATAACGATCATCTGACGAGTGGAAACAATAGCCTCATCTATAGGCTAAGCAAACACAGGCTAAAGCTGTTCCAAGTAAAACTGAAGAGCAGTCGTCTTCTTGGAGCTCAAGAAACACTTAGTGGGGCCACTGATTAGAGCAAGGCTGGGCAAAATGCGCCTTGTGGGCACAGGTTGCTCTCCTGTCCCCTCTGCCAGTGCTGCCACATTTGCAGTGGCCACAAAAATGAGAATCCTTTTTCAAGAAATCAAGGTGCACGGGGAATCTGCCCTGTTGGCAAATGGAATGGTGTTCCCAGAAGCCTCTTGAGTGAGCTGTTCTGTCTGCATGCTGCTTCCTGCACATTATTTCCTTGAAAAATTTCTGGTGGGTTCTGTGCAGGAATATTGCAGCACCCCCGACCCTCAGACACCCACCAGCCATGGATGAGAATAATTCAGGATGGTTCATTGTTCCTAGCAACTTTTCGAACCTGTTTTGGCTCCCCATCTTGGTGTAAAGTGAAAGGATACTGATCCTCACTTCAGCTGCTAGGATGGGACCCACATGGGGGCTACATAGTGACTGAGGGGGAATTGCCTGAGTGGCAGTCTTTTATTTGGAGAAAATGAATGAGCAAAAAGCAACAAATGCTGGGAAAACACACCAAGAGGGATGCAGGGAAGGGCCAAGTTCCTTTAATAGCTGTGTGGAAAAGATATTTCAGCAGATCTAGCTTTTCTCTTGCAGAGCAAACAGCTACGGTACCCACCTTTGTACCAATACTGATGGCACAACAATGTAGAGATGCTTTGCTTCTAGCTATCTCAGGTTGAGTAGGAAAAAGGTTTCCTACTACAACTACAGCCAACTAAAAACTGGTATCTTATCATTGTTTTGGATTAAAGGTATATTTGGGGTGTCAAAAATGTGAAGGCTATTGCATGAAGAGATTGTTTGCTTTTATTATTATCACAGTGCATTCATATCCCGCCCTTTTCCTCTTGTGAGGAACCCAGTGTGACTTATATAGCTTCCTTTTATCCTCGCAACAACAACCCTGTGAGGTAGGTTAGGGTGAGAAGGAGTGACTGGCCCAAAATCACTGAGTGAGCTTCACGGCTGAATGGAGCCTAGAACCTGGATCTCCTGGATCCCTGGTCCAACGCTGGAACCAGCACAGCACACTAGCCCTCAGTTTTAGCCCCTTTAAATCACTCCTCTTGTACTTCCCACCTTTGGAGCTCACCAAACACAGCACCAACTACCATCTGCTCTCCAAGTGAGCACGTGGAAGTCTTTTCAGGGAGCCATATGCAAGAAGTCTGCCATTGCATGGGAGAATCTGTAGTTTTTAAATACCAGCATTAGACAAGAACAGAACATCTTTGATGTGCTCTTGAAGCCATGGATAAGAAATACATTTAGGAAACATCAGCAGCAGTTCTAAGCATCTCAAAAGTTGGGATGATAGGCCTGTGGGGGTGAAATTAATCAGTGGGAGGGGAGGGGGGGGAGAGAGAGAGAAGGAGAGATCCACCTGCCTAGAGATCTTTTGTTGCTTTATTCTCCAAATGCAGCGACTTTCCTTAAAATGCAGTCCCATGAAGTCTTAGCCTCTAGGACATTCCTGGAGATCAGGCAGAGAGTTGTATAGGAGGGTGATTTTAGTACTGTATTAGATGCTAGAAGTTGTGGCTAGGTAGAAGCAGGTGGTGTGCCTATCTGTACTACTTCTGATTCCTGCCTGTATACCTGCAAATAAATCTTTGGTGCTCATTCCCCCAAGGAAATGAGCTGCCCTGAATTTCACAGTGTTTGGGGAGGAAAATAATATACTCTTCCTCCATGGATTCTCTGGAGTTTAAGGTGAGCCTGATGGAAACCCGTCAGTGGAAAATGGTGCTTATCACACCCAGAATGGAATCCACTTTCTGAGTATGTGACTAAGAATATGGAGAGATTTTCCCAGTGTGTACAAACTCTGCTGTAAGTTAGGAGTCATGTGGTGCCTCCATCAGCTGTGTGGCCCAATTTTTCTTACTAGGAGGATAAACAGTCTAGAATCCCAGTGCTTGTAGTGCTCCCTGAATTCCAACTTTGTCAGGTGTTGTACTGTGCTCTGAATCGCTTTGAAATTTTCCTTTCTTCTTGATTTGATCAAACACTGCCTCCCATTGGCTGATGTGCCAAATATTTTGCTAATGACTGTGTATAAATAGAAGGGGTATTTCTAGGTGTGGGTGAGTGATAGGTGGGCAGGCACTTGCTTTTCTGTCTGATCCTGTAATCCCCTCCCTGTCATTGTTGTTATCCTGGCTGTGTTTATTGATTGGAAATCTTGAATGTTCTGCTCCAATTACCTCCAAGTCTAGATACCTGCCTGGAAGAACTTTTGCTGGGAGCATGGAATGCAGAAGACAAAGGATCGAATACTGGAGGAAATGTCACATATAATGGGAAGCCTGGTGGCATGGTGGGTAGCGTGTCAGGCTGGGATTTGGGAGATCCACGTTTCAGTCCCCACTCAGGGATGAAGCCCACTGGGCACTTTGGGCCAGTCACTGACTCTCAGCCTGACCTATGGAGAGGAGGAGAATTATGTAAGGTGTGTTTGGTTCCTTGCAGGTGGAGAATAAATACAGTTTCCTTCTATATAGGAATATGTAAAGGCAATGCACATAGAGAGAATATCTCAGGGCAAAGGAAGCTCTATTGAGTAGCATTCAAGTCACCAAAAAGAGCAAAGTATGCATCTGTCTAGACTGGCGGCTGTAATACACAATTTCACCATAATGGAATAAAAACAATGGTATTTTTTATCAGGCAGGAGACAGATAGAAGAGTGTAAATATTATGAAGACAATCAAACAAAAGGACACTTTCCTCTCTATTTTTTAGTTGCACCAAGAGTTTTTCAAAGTCACAGGTGCATGACAAACACCGGCAAGTTTGCTTGACCGTGGTGTATGAAGGGAAACTATATCTGATATTGGATTAAGAAGGCACTTGCTGCTACAAGGTGGGGAATGGACTCAGTTAGCCAGAAATATGGGGTCAGACCCCAAGCCTTGGTGCAGCTCATTGCATCTGGTGTGGTTTATCCCTCTGCCACTGAGGAAAAGTTACTTCAGTTGGAACCAATGAATACTCAAGGAGCTGGGAAATCGATCCATGTGACTGGAAAATAATCTGAAGCCTGGGGACCAGCTCTAACAGTGCTCCTATTTCTGCATGTTGTGGGGCTAAGACTCAAAGTCTAATGGAGAGTGTGAACGCAAGCAGTGCACCCTCGGGACTGTAGCCCCAGGAACGGTCTCCTCCTGTCCCAGGGCCCTTCCAGCCTCCCTCCCCGTGCTGTTACCTGGTGGTTGAGTAGCCTGGCTGTTTCCAAACTGCACGGTGATGCACAGGTCATTGTCGAAGGGAAATTTGTTGCAGTTGAGCATTTCGGGCCAGGGGAAGCCATAGGATTCCATGACCGGCGCACAGGAGTCCCGCACAACCTCACACAGCGAGCGGCATGGGTAGATGGGTCGGTCCAGACAGACGGGTGCAAAGAGGGAGCACAGGAACACTTGGGTGTCCGAATGGCATCGCTTGGCCAGCAGGGGAACCCAGCTGCTGGCTTGCTGCTTGACCTCGGGCATGGACTCATGCTCCAGCAGGTTAGGGAGCCGCATGCGCTTGTAGCCCACATTGTGGCAGAGCTGCAGGTCGGCTGGGATGTCCGTGCACTGTGGCTGCTTGGTATAGAAGCGTCCCTGCTGGAAGCTGTCTGACGGCCAGCTGTAGTAGTCGTACTCCTGGCTCATGGATCGGGCCCAGCCCTGTGCGAGCACCAGCAGCACCGCACCCAGGGCGTCCCACGGGCAGGGTGACATCACGGCTCACACAGACACTCCCCCTCTGTGCCGCCTCGGCCGTGTGCGTGTGTTTAGGGGCGACAATGTGGTGGAGCAGAGTTGCCACAGGTGCCAATGGGAGCCAAGCTGAAGGACGCTGCCCTGCCCCCAGCCAGCCAGCCAGCCAGCACCTGGCCTAGAAAGCCACTCTCTTCTGCCTAAGGCTGCTTGGTTGCATCTGGCATCATCAATGGGACGGAGTGAGCTAAAGCCAGACCGAATTGAAGTCTCTGCTCCGGGCTGTTTAGCACCACCCCCTCTAGGCTTCCAAAGCAGCCCCTTGGGGGGAGCCAGCAGCCAATCTTCTCCAGGCACGCTCCCCCCTCCCAGGGCTGAAGTGGGAGCTGGCCACGAGGATGTCCCCACCTCCGACTCCGGGCCACTCCTCCAGCCTCCCCCTGCCCCCGCGCCCGCCTCTTGCTTCTTGCTTCTCCTGCTCAGTTTTTACTGGCTTGTTCCCATCGCCGGCACAGAGAGAGGCATCGGGGCCCAGCTGGCATGATGATGAAATGCCATGAAGCTAATATCAGAAAGGATGCAATTTTCCTGCCTCCAACCTTCACCTCTGGAGTGCTTTAAAAATAAGCTCTAGACTGTGTGAAAGCAGTTTGCCTTTTTCCCTTTCTGGTGTGAAAATATGTACATCCAGAAGGCCCCAGAAACACCTGAAAGCATTTGACAAGCCTGTCTACTGAATTCTCGGATAACTAGTAAATGTCCAGCTCATTCATTAAATATTGAATATAATGATCTATGACTTCTGGCTTTTCAATTTGCACATTAAAAACGAATGGTGGTGGGGAGCCCAACAGTCCCAACACTAGTCTATTTTAGGCAAATAGATGGGCAAATGTCAGAAAAAGAAAATTGGATTTGCTACTGAGAACAGGTAAATGTGAACCCCGTTTGAGGTTGTTCTTAGGTCTAGGAAAAGCACACAGTAATGAAGGGATCCTGACAGAGGGAATTTGTGGAATGGGGTGCCATTATCGAGAGACCAGATTCCTCTACTTCCTCTCTGGAATTAGACCTAGATTTTTTTTCCTTGGTAAATAAAGGATGGGGTTAAACCAAATACAGGCAATGGCATCCAGATAATAACATAGGAGAGTAAAGGACAGGGATGGGAAATTTGTGGTCTCTCAGATATTGTGGTCTACAACTCCATCAGCCCTAGCCACCATAGCCAAGGGTGAGGGATGATGGGAGTTGTAGCCCAAAACATATGTAGGGCCTCAAGTTGTCTACCTCTGGCTTGGAATCAAAAGGGCCAGTTCTGGATATTAAATGAGTACTTAGTAATGAGTACCTGGCCTTTTTCTGCATGCAAATAAGAGCCCGTGTGGTGTAGTGGTCAAGAGCAAGGGACGTGAACTCAGGCAATCTTGGTTTGAATCCTGGCTCAGCCATGGAGCCCACTGAGTGACTTTGGGCCAGTCACAGTCTCTCAGCCTAACCTACCTCATAGGGTTGTTGTTGTGGGGATAGGATTGAGAGCAGAATGATGTAAGCCGCTCTGAGTTCTTTCAAAATTAAAAGAAAAAGACAGGATAGAAATCTAATAAAGAAATAAATGCCTCACATGTCACTGTCCAGGTTGGAGTAGGAATAGGAGTGAAGAGAAACCCAAAACCCTAATCAGAAAGGTACCGTTATAACAGTGACTCCATAACTGGGTCCAGGTGAGAAGGACCATCAGATTACTGGACACCACCTAGTGATGAACGTTGATGGTTGAGGGGAGTGTTCTTGATTTAAGAGGTAGTTCATCTTGAGTATTTATAACAGGTACTCAGCATTTAAGGATTCTGTTCGTGAGCTGGCCATCCCTCGGCCTAACAAACTTGATGACTAAGCGGATGTTGAGCTTTTTTTAGGCTTATGGCCTTGAATAACCTCACTCTACAAGAGAAGCCTTTTTAACAGGTGTGACTCAGGACTTTGTGGCTACCATGACTACCAGCCGCCAATCCTGGTGTGCTTTTAATCCTACACACAGGGCAGGTCACACGTCAGCTGCCCTCCTTTATGATTTTCAGGCCTTGTGGCTTTTTGTCTGACTCTACAGTTATGTGAGTCCCACTTTGACAGCCACCGCAGGTGCCCAAGTAGCACCCTGGAGGTGCTTCTGTATGTGGCAAATGTATCATTACACACACCATAAGCACACAAAAAAGGTGTTATTATTTTTAATCCACACTTGAGCAACTGCAGGAATGGGGACCATCAGATGGACACTGTTGGGGAGGAGGACCTGCTGTCAGAATGCAGAGCTGCCAGCTCTGCAGGTCGACTCAAAGAGGTCCAAATGAGTTCCCCCACTTTGCTTTTTCTTGACAGCTGTCAGAAGGTGAACTTTTCAAGAGAAAGCAAAGATGTAAATAATTTTAGCTCAGGAAAAGTGATGAACACTCCCTTTGCTCTGAGATAAAAATGTGGGGTCTTGTTTAAAAGGGGAAGGGAGTGAGAGGACAATAGGTGGACTTGGAGTCGTATATCCTAGTTTAAAAAAAGTTCAAGTGCCCCATTCAAAAACAAAACAAAAAGCTCTTCTAAAAGCTACTCAAAAAAGGAAGTAGATGCACTTTTGAACTTACCTGAGCAGCCAGAATCTTGGGGAAAAGTGCAAAATGTACATCACCCTGAGGACTGGAGTTGTGCTATCTCACCATGAAGGCAGGATAAATCTTACCACCCCTTTTTTATGAGTTAAGGTGACTTGCACCTTCATTTTCTTTTTACATCAGTCAGAAGAAACAAATGGAGGAAAGCCTATCCAAAGTTCTTTGTGCCCTTACAGCACTTGACCAATTGTGCTCCTGCACAGTTGTGAAAGTACTGCTAACAAAAAAAAAGTAATTTTTTAAAAAATTGCCACCCACCAGCAGACCTTCCAATGTGCGCCTTGGACATTTTGAAGGGGCAGTCAGTGGTTGTCAAAATTGGGACTGCATAATCAACTGTCAAGTTGGACTAGGGAATAAAAGGATACACAGGCAAAAAGCTGCAGTGAGTTGAAGATGGCCCATGATTAAGCTGGGAAGACAATTGGTCTTGCTGTGGGATCCCCCAGCACACCTGCAGGAGGAGTGTGGGTGAAAGATGTGGGAAGGAAAGGGGGCAAGGAGCCCCTGGTGATCATCTCTTGGTGCACTGTGGGGTGTTCTCAACAATAACCAGTCCACCATGGCTTATTGCTATGGTGGGTTGTCTTGACATGCAAATACACCCACTGTCTTTCTATTGCTACAAACCAATCTGGCTGTAATCAAATGTGTTAATGGATTTCTATTCTGCTACAGCTTTCTGTGGCTTTGAAGTTTTAAATATAGCAGCCTCATAGTCTAGGATGAATACTGGATATTCCTCTGCTGGTCTCCCTCTGTTCCAGCTGGAAGAAGCCAGACCGGGTCACAAAGGGAAGAGGAGTCCCTCCCTCCCTGTTTCCTTGTAGGTTCCATCCAAGGCAGTGGGGTGGGGGCTGCAGAGTTTGTACATGCCTCTGAAGTCCTGGAAACAGGCTCTCCTGCACCGGCTGTTCCAGAGGCAGACTCATTAGAAAGTGATTTTTCTCCAGATTTCATCTGGGCTATTGGTCAGTGGATGGCTCCAGCTACCTCATTCCCCCCTCCTGTGGCCTTTGTCCCTGGGGAGGGGAAGCTGGTACTTGAGTGTGGAGCTGTTGCGCTTAGGGAGGAAAAGTGTCTCCTTGCTGATAATGGCGTAAGAGTGGGGATTTTTTCTTGCCTCCTGAATGTGGCAACGTGCACTTTGGTGGAAGGGCTCAGCTCTCACCCGGGTCCTTTCTCTGCATAGTAGTAGTGCAGCTATGAATGGACTTTGGCCTGCACAGCTGGGGGTGAGGGGATGGCTTTCAAGAGAGTAAAAGGTAACTGGAGCACTGGCAGACAAGCCTGGCTTGGTATGGCCCCAGGGCCAATTTCTGGGGGGCTCTCGGGTGGCAAGACAGCCCTCTATCACTGTGGTTACTTTCTCACCATCATGGTTAACAGCTGCTGTTGCTCCTGATCCTCTTTCTCATAATTGCCACGTGGTTGCTTGACAAGCAGAGGATCAGCAAGCAAGTAGGCAGGGGCAATGACTGCTCCTGCTTGTTGCCAGCATGGTTTGGCCACAGTAGAAAGCACTTCATAAAGGAGCCTGCAGCTCTGCAGGGCTCTTGTCGATGGGTGCGGGCCCTTGGCAAGGGCCCAGTCATACCTACCTTTGATGCTGGCTCTGAATAGGCTTACTAGGGCAGGCAAAACTCAATGCAGCATCCTTTCTTTCTTTGTGTTCTGCTCTCATTTTTATAGTCAGGGGGCAGCCAACCAAACACATTTTCATGTTTACAGACACTCATTCTATTATTTCACAGACACACATACATATATGTGTATGCATATATATGTAGACTGGCAGAACAAAGTGAGCAAAAGCTTAGAGATGCTAATGCTTGCCTGTCCTTTGGAGCACACCTTAGACATGTTAATGGTTTACCTGTCCTAAGGTTGTTTTTGTATTGCTTTGTCTTAATCCCTTTTGTTTTATGTCTACCCTGCTTCTAGCATACTGTGTACTGATCCCCCACCTGATCTCTTGCCCCTCCCCCAAACTGAATGTAATTGGTAGGCTATAAAAGCATCTTGTACAGACGCCATCTTTGTAGTCCTGTTGGGGGCTGCCTACATGCTGCATGTATTTCCCATATGTCTGAATAAACTGTAAATGTACTTTTGATTGTACACCATCAGAGGACTCTCAAAGGGTATTTTTCCTACTTTTGACAAGACATGTGTGTATCCACTATTAGCATACACATGCACACACCAAAATGGTTCTTATTCCCAAGCACATGTGTTCAGCATCAAGGCAACAGAAGTAAACTCTTATACCTGCAATCATAACAGTGTTAGGAATTCAGTGAGTTTTAAATGTATAACCAAACACACTCTTTAGCTGTGGCTTTGTTTTGTTTT